GACTTGAATTCTTCCAAGTTGGATCTGTCTGTTAGATAAACCAAATTGCCACAATTTCCAAGCATCTCAGATGATATTGCAGGAGTTTGGCAACTCAGAAATTAAACACATCACAAATGAAACATTAGGAAAAAAAAGAAAACAATTTATGAAAAACTAGCTTGTCACGTTTGAATCTTGAGGTTCTGTAAGAATAAAGAAACCAACATATAGGCTCAGGCTCTACGTTGATAAGAGCCTGGTGTACCGACACACATGCACACAAAAATTCTCAGACGCTCAAGCATACATAATTACTCTCACAATAACATAAAAAAGCTACAAGTTATGTTCCAACACAAATTTCAATTCTCTCAGAGATAACTTCAACAGTTAGAAAACGAATTAGCATTTAAGAAAATTTAGCTATAACTGCTCCTGCCGCTATCATAAAATGATAACAAAATAAATAGCTGCCCACAAATTTAAACCCTGTATAAGGACTACAAAGCTGAATCAAGGAGCTCTTAAGAATACCTCCTAGGTTCTGTTACTCATATATAAGTAGTTAAAGTAGGTCTTTCCACAACTCTTGCTTGTCCACTTCAATCAACATACAGTCAAGACATTTCCCTCCTTCATTTTGCATCAACTCTCCCTTCCAAGATTTCCTAAATGTGACTGCTCCCAGGAGCAAATCTGTAAGCATAGCACAAAACAACTGGGTACACTAAATCCCTTCTCTCCATTTTTTTTTTTTTTAATTATAATTTCTTACCTTTCTTTCAGTAAATTGAGGTGCTTCTGAACATCATCTTTTCTCTGACTTTGTTGGCACAAAACAGATCTGGAAAGAAAATAAAGGCAGAATTTTCATTACAAAGCCTGCAAGCACAAAGAACACATCAAGTGAAGTAAGCATAGTCAGAACTTCTCCAGCTAAAAATTTCCAACTTCAGATAGAAAGTGTTATATTATAATGGACAAAATATAGACAGACAGCCACATTGCCCCAAAAAGCTCCAAAGCTTTTCCAGTTCAAGTAATGTTATGATTTTTACTTCATTCCTTTTGCAAAGAACAAGCACCAGGATATTTGGCACTTACAGTATTACTGAATCCATTACAGTTTCCAGAAACTGCCGACTGCTCTCAGGGAGAGTCTGCCAAGATCCTATTTTAGCACTGGTTAGCTTCACTTTTTTTGAAGAAACTTTTTCTTCTGTTAACGCTAAAGGAAAAAGGAAAATATATGATTTGTCAAACCTGGATAGACAGTTTTGTGACTCAATTCAGTCAGATCATAGTCAAAGGTGTAACAATTAAGATTTTTCCATGTCACAGAACTATTAGGTCAAATCTATCCACATCAGGTAGTATTTATTATTTGCAAGTCACAATTTGTTCAAAAAACACAAAATAGAATAGGTTCTTTCTTACTGTAGTTTCATTTTAATCAGATACTTTCCCAAAATCACTGGTGATACAAGTGAGAAAACCCAGAATGACATTTATTAAAAAAAAAAAAAAAAAAAAGAGGAGGAATATACATAAGCGAGAAACTCAATGCAGCAGAGGCCTCATCTCATTTCTGTGCTCAATACAACACAACCTTTTGGCTTAAAAATGGCATAACAGAGAATAGAATGATCTGTGAAGAGAAAGTTAAAATGTACAATTCCACCACAAGCACCTAGAACAAGAGAAGAACACTACTTGCAAACAAAAGCATATGATTAATACGTGCATATACAACACATATTATATGAATGCACACTGGCTAAGATGGTACTGCAAATACTCACTGTTTAGAAAGAGAACTTTGAAACTTATTTCAGTGACATCTCAGACATCTATGATTTCAACACAGCAGTTACTACTTTTACTTTCAAAAAAACACTGAATTTGCACGAGACAAATGTAAGGAAAGAATACAATCCTACCTGCAGGGGAATAGTCCCTGGGTTCCTTAGCTTTCCTTTTGACTGTCTGACTGACCTGCTCAAGAGAAAATTTTACAGCAAATGTGGTAATTTTGAAACATCCTCTGCTGTGCAACCGTTCACCTACTACTAGCAACCAACTATAAAAAGGCTGTGAAGGCACGTCAGTGCTTGATAGAGGTCTATTGACGTTGACCACAAAACAGGCTTTTTGAACTGTGAAACAGTAATTCATCTCAGGCAGGTTAAGGAAAGTAATTCACTCTTCTTAATTCCTCCCATTCCAAGAATGAGGTCATAAAATAAGAAATGCACAAGATGCTTGGCTATCCAGCCACATCTTGAGATCACACCGTTTGTAAGTTCAGTGGTTAAGCAAGCTCTCTCCAACAGAAATCTGCCTAGGCCAATCCTGAGACATGCAGAGCATACTTTCCAGAATTGAATAAACTGAGCTGAATGAACTCTGACTTTATCACTCTATTCAAACAGATGCTATGCAGCTCTTCAAAACTACACAGCCAGCTTGCCTTTTTATCAATGATCAGACAATGCTTCCCTCTAGTCATCACAGGCACAGTAGGACACAACTAGAAATTCCGGAAGTCAGGGAGCAGCTAAGTTAGTGGGTCCCAAAAGAGCTGTTCACACTGGACTTTTCCTCAAGAGGATTATGTTTAGTTGATGAAATATTCTCTTTAAGTTCTAGTAAAAAACCTGACCAAAAATGCCTCTTTTTTTTTCCTTCAGTTACTTTTCCAATTTGTTTGAAGCAAAATAATGATTACCTTTCTTTTTTGACCTTGATTTCTTCCTTCTCCATCTGTTCCCTTTTTTTTGCTGGAAAGCCCTTGTTGATTTTGTGATTTAAACTGTTTTTTTGCTGATCTTCCACCAGCAGTCTCCCCCATTTTACTGGAGGATGTGTGGGGGTGTTTAATTATCTGTAAACAAAATAGAACAGGAGGAAACAAAAGCAAAATTAAAATCCAGCAATTATAATCCATACAGTACAAACAAACAAAACGATGGAAATACCCAGTGCTAAATGAGCCCAAATGTTTGCATATTTGCTAATCCAAAGCCTAAATCTTGCATATTTATCTAAGTGCAGGATCACTAAAAAAGCATCCCCATTTGCCTTTTAGACAAGTCTTTGTGTGTTCCACATCTCTTTCTAAACTTAAAAGCCAGCATCTCTGTATGCCAAAGGGCTGCAATGGCCATGTAACTGCACTGAGCACAACCTAATTTGTTCTCAAAAGCCTCCAACAACATAAATTCTGTATCTTTCTAAAGCAGTTCAATGCAGTCATGCTGTTACCAGAACTTTTTACCTAACCATAAGGTTCATGCTGCAGCTTAAACCTATAATTTCTTTTCTTACTCACAATAGAGATGGAGAAATAAGAAGTCACGTAGAACAGAATAATCGTTACACCCTACTAGGCTTCTCTTTTTTAAGCACAATGACTCAGATGTCTTCAGTTTTTCTTTTATTCCCTCAGTCCACTTCTCCCTCAAGCAGAAGCCCCATCGCGGCTCGCCAGGCGACAGTCGCGACAGACACCAGGTAAATAAGCCCTGCCTCTCCCTTCGCTCCAGCAACAACTGATTTGTGGGACAGCATTCCCACATACCTCAGCGTGAGAGGCGCGAACTACAACTCCCGGCATGCAACGCTGCCCCACCACTGTGGCACAGGCCCACCGGCGAAATGTATGCTGGGAGTTGTAGTCTTCACCACCCATGCTCCCTGCTCCCCGTTGCTGCCGGATAACACCGCAGGAACCTCCACAATACCCTCCACCAACTCATCCCACCCCAAGAC